ATGGCAGTCACAGGTGCTTCTACTGACATTGACTGTGGATGTATTGAAGCCATGCCGAGTGCCCGATCCCACGTGCGGCGCTGTCCAAAGACCAGGCAGGAGCTGGAGACAGATCAGTCTCCGTCTCCTGGGAAAAGCTTCTCACTGCGGAGCTTCTCCAAAGCGTCTGGACTGGCTGTCGACACTCCCTGCCTTTAATGTATGATCAAGAAAAGCTTTAACTCATTACTCTCTACAATGCCCCTCCCCATTCTTGTCCTAACTGCTTTCGTATGTTTAATAATACCGACTTCAGATGAATTTTCTCCACTAACACGCATAAGGAGGGGAGGAAAAAAAAAACAGTGACAGATCCAAGATAATAATCTTTTTTATTTTGTGCACAAGAATCAACTGTTGGGAAAGATCCATTTCAATTTGAGTTAATCTCCACAAAGGCTACGCACAAAACGAAACCCTTTACAATTTTTTTTCTTCCTCTGGTGATGACTTAAGCTGTGCTCAAGTTTTTTTTCTTTTTTTACAAGAAAGTGTGGTCTGGAAGTTACCCCTGGGAAACAACAAATCCAGCGTGAGCCTTACTAAAAAGATGCTGGGTCAAATTCCAGGTGTCGTGTCCTTGAACACCTATTCAGGGCTGGATTCTTGGTTTTAGCCTAAGTTGGTTCCAGGTGTAAACGTGAGTAGCATTCGTAAGTCACCCAAGAACCCCACAAATAAGTACTGCGAGGTGTTGCACAGCGATGCTGACTCACAGCGAGGACGCGTTGGTCAAACACACCGCTGGTGGAAAACCATCAGAGCCGCTCAGGTTAGAAAACCCCACATTACCCTCTTCCTTGTAGGCCCAGCTTCACCCCCCGCCCTCTCCCTCCCTGTGCTGTGATGAAAGTAGAGAGAGCACCTCCACTACTCGCCTCTTTTGTTTATTTACCTTCAGAATTACAGCCTGCTCTTCTTGGACCATGTTCCAATGTGTTTTGTTATGTTTCCCTTCAAATAGAATATCTACGCGTGTGGTCTCTGGCCGTGTTTGGCTAACACACGCACACATACGTGCACACACACTCCCATTCAACTTTCCCTCTGTGCCAGAGGTCCCCTTTGCCCTCCCCCCCTCCTCTAACTAAACATCGCAGGACAGCAAAAGGGAACTTCAAAGTGGCCAGAGGGGGTACTCCTTTTTTCCTGGCACTTGTCATCATCTAAGGGACTGGCTGCTCCCCTTATTACTCTAATTGCTTCCAACTGCTCCGGGAGGCTTTGATGAAGGGCGCCACGGAGCATGCTGGAAGCACCTGTTGTTGCACACAGGAGCACAGGTGGCCCTTATTGGTGGTGGCGTGGTAGCGTGCGGATTGCAATGGGGCTTCCTGCTAAAATCGTGCAGCTCCAATAAAAACATAATCTCAACGTTATCTCAGATTTGGGGATTTATGAAACTGCAGTCATACTAAAAAATGAAAAGTTTTAGCTGGTGGAACTGTGGAAGGGGGGACTGTTGATCGTGAGACATCTCAGCAGCACTCTGGCTCCATCTTGTGGTATCACTGTGCTAGAAGTCCAGAAGCTGTGTTGGAGAAAATTGAAGAAATTTGAGATTGTCAGACAGCAGACATAAAAGTCTTTTGCAGAAAGGTTAAATACATTTGAGATTAATGATAGCTCTCATAGCATCTACACATTTAAGGTTTTCGTTTACGTATCCCCAGAAAAAATTTGCATTACCACTCCATTTCAAATCATCACATTTTCTACTCAACCATCTCCAATGTGCCTAAAAGTGTGAACATATATAATGAGTGCTGCAACATTTCAGCTTCATATATCAAATATCTTTCCGGATTTTTTTCTTTTCTAAAAGGCCATTCCACCTACTTTCAGGCCTTTTTTTTAATGGATTAAAATCAGAAGCAGTCATTGAGCATAAAGACCTCAAAACCTATTAAAGATAAAAGCTAGAATTTTTCACCGCCTTCTTTAACCATCAAAACAAAGCAGGATCTGTAATTTGGGACTGATACATGAAGAAAATCTCAGAGTATTTGGCTCTTAAAACATCAACAAAAAAAATCAAGCTCTCCTATAAAGTTCCATATTTGAGCACACGCTAATAACAAATGCACATTGCAAAAGATTAGTATACAGATGTTTTTATCAATACTGCAAAAACACTTTATAACATTCTACGTCTTAAAAATGGCATTTGATAAAAAAGCTTTGTTGGATTGAGAAAAATAAGTTAAAAACATCAGCAGATAGTCTGCTCTGAACAGAACACAGTTTTGTAATTTACAGATGGTACAGAGATTAGATTAGAAAATGATTTGTCAAATATGTGCATATCTTTCATTTTAAAGGCCTACTCTAGCTACTGTTTCAAGACTTGCTACCCTGGAAGAGTTTTATAATTCAGTTTAATTACAAGACACCAAGTTTAAAATATACTTAGAGTTACTGAAAGCTAAACAATGTAGGATTTTCATATATATTACAATTCTTGTAGCATTCATTCTGGTAGTCAGTACCAGAATATTACCCATGTGACATGAGCTACTAATCCCTTTTTAATTAATCTTAATTGTTTTACTATAAATACTTAAGAATGATATTACAATACTTGTTGAGCTTTTCATAACTTAGTGTATTTTAAACTCCAGGGCAAAGTGCATGCTTACAAAGTTATTTTCTCAGTTATAATTAGATTACCATCTGGAAATTACAGAATGTTCTTGCATTCGGATGAGGCCATTTACTGATATTTTTGTTTTTGTTGTACAATATTGCCATATTGGATCATTACTGCATGAAAGGTGAATGAAAACAGCATTTTTGCAACTAAAAATTTTATGTTAAAAAGTACTCTAAATACTGTGCTTTGCATCACTGTGAAATATGCCTAAATACCAGTCAGACATAGTCACTAGCTGTCTATTGCAGTGTCTACTGCCTTAGATTTCAAAGTGAGAAACAAAAAGCATGAAGGAAGTGAGTAGATGGACCATTTAAATATAGATAATATTAGATAGTTCAGCAGAAGACCCATGATGATTTTGATTTGTAGAAGCTGTTCCCGAACCATACACAAAGTGCAAAAGCTAATGCAACAAATATATTTTACTGCAAAGAAAAATAAAAACTTGCCCAGTAATCCCATTATTTTTAAGTATTAGCTGTAATCTGGGCTAAAGATAAGACTATGCAAACAAGCGGAAATAAGTGAAACGAAAACATTTCTTGAGCCTGTTGAGCCACATACCAGCTGAGGCAGGATCTTTTCAAAATGTTCAATGTCTACTTGGTCACAGTCCTCAGATTCGGCTTGTTTCTGTGATCTCACAGCAGCCTCTGAAAAAGGAGATAACAGCTTCAGAGTGTTATCATTAGCCAGTCTGTTATTGTGTCTCAAATGTTGTGCAACTGTGTCAAAGCTCCTTACCTTGCACGAACACTTTAAGCATCTCTACCATGAGCAGTGTGGCATCTCCGCTTACTGCAACACAGTGGCATTTCATCAGCACGGTCACATAGAGAGCAAGACGACACTGATAACAGCATAGTTATCCCACTCACGTTTTGTTTTGTCTTCTTTGAAGAAACTAGACAAAAGTTTGCTTACTGTATCCTGTGTGCAGAACAGAGCACATAAAGTGGGAGAGTGTATTAGTCATAAGGTTTTCCACTGAGTAGCTGGCCAAAGAAAGTACACTCAACAAAAATATAAACGCAACACCTTTGTTACTGCTCCCATTCCCCATGGGATGGACGTAGAGACCTAAAATTCATCCCAGATACACAATATAACCATCCCTCCCAAACAGTGGTCAGCAATAGCGCAAAAAACTGCACATTCCAGGGTGGCCTTTTGTTGTGGGCAGTCTGAGGTACACCTGTGCACTACTCATGATGTCAGATCAGCATCCTGATGTGGCACACCTGTGAGGTGGGATGGATTATCTCAATATTGCAGATGTGCCCACTACCACACATTTGGACTGATTTGTGACCACTGTTTGGGAGGGATGGTTATATTGTGTATCTGGAATGAATTTTAGGTCTCTACGTCCATCCCATGGGGAATGGGAGCAGTAACAAAGGTGTTGCGTTTATATTTTTGTTGAGTGTATTAGTAAAGCACTAACAAAGCAAAACAGACACGATTTAGTAAAAATAACAAATGAACGCAACACAGACACAACAAAACCTGCCTGCGTATCCACTTTTGAAAAAACCCGTATTTGGCTTTCAAGCTAAGTTTGTCCGTCGAATTCCTTCTCGAGTTTTCGCCAACCAAACGTCTTTGGTGAATTTGGCGATTTAAAGGGCTCTCCGCTGTCCGCGCAAAAAACGGAAGTTGTCCTGGAAAGTGTGGTCTTAAAGCAATCGCTAGGACCCAGTCTTTTATTCGGCGTGGTAGTTACAATGTTATTCCCCGCAATATCTGAATATCTTAACAAGATGTAAAGTGTTAGCTGTCGTCTGACAAAACATGTTGTGTTTATATGGTGGGCGTGGAAACACACAAGTCGGCGACAAAGAAGTTCGCTTTTTTTATTAAAACACGAGGGGGGACAAGCAGGCATAAACACTTAAAAACAAACGGCTGATTGCTCCTACCTTTTTAAAGGAAATTTCTACGTCCTTTTCCGCCATGTTGTTTTTACGCTGTAGAAGAAACTTGGCGCTCTACGTAGCGATTGGCTGTTGACCCGTGACGCAAAACTCATGTAGACGGTACAGTACACAGGACTTTCACAGAAAGATTTGAAATTATATATATATATATATATATATATATATATATATATATATATATATATATATATATATATATATATATATATATTAGATGTATTTATAAATATTTTTCTTGCTATATATAATACACAACAAAATAATATAAACGAACAAAAATATTTTGGTTTTCGCAAATAGTATTTCAAATAAAACATTTACCATGGGAGGAAAAACAGAAAAACAGCAACACAGAAGAGCACGAATCCTTTGACTTCTTTGTATTTATTCCTGAGCAAAGAAAACCAACAATAACTAATATTTTCTTACAACTTCACAATTTTGTCTTGTTACCATAAAGTCAACAATCATGTCACATTCACCAACAGTGGCTGGACAAAGGAATACATGACTAACTTCACTTATAGTGTGACATCTGTAGGTCCTTTACAAACATTTAACTAAAATGTCATAAACACAATACATTTACAAAATATACAATAAACAAAAAAATATTGTTTAGCCAGAAATTCACAGTTATGGGTAAGTAAGTAAAACTTATTAGTAAAACTAAGAGAAATACATACATAAATACATGTGCATTAGGTTGTATGTTCTCATGTATGGTACTGACATAACAACCAATGCCCTCAAGCTGGTCAACTTTGGATCAAAGCTTTGTTTATTCATTCATCTTCGTCTAACCACTGAGCATCTTCGAGTAGGTAGCCAAGACCCATTGAAGGCCGTGGTCGAGGTTTAACTGTGGCTCCATCAACCCCTTGCTCTGAATCCTCCTCACCCTGCAAGACATTTTTAAAAAAATATTATTTAATTATGATAGGCTGTGATTGGAAAAGTCCCTAACATAAAATAGTTGTCATTTGCTCACCTTGAAAGTAACAAAGCGCCTCACTTTAACTTCTGTTCCACCGATATTGTGAGGACCGACCCAGTCTGCCATGTCTGCTTCTTCCTCACAAGAAAACTTCACAAAGGCCAACGATTTTTGTTTCCCAGAGTTGGGATTCTTCCTAATCTAAGATCCAGTATAAAACAGAAAGTATTTATCGCAGGTCTCTTGTAGGAAAAAAAAGCAAACCAATAGTTTTTTTCTTTAGTCTTTACTTTGCATGATTTGACGGTGCCCCATTCTCGGAAGTAAGCTTGTATATATCCTTCATTTATATAGGGATTCAGATCTTCTACAAGCAGTCCATGTTCCTGTTAAATAGCAGAAATTCAAGAGCTTCATGAAACATTTAAACATAAAAAGATAAAAGGAAATAAAATGATAGCTTTGCTCAAAGATATGGGAATGAGAAAAGTTGTTTACAAGTTCATATTGCTCGGCCAAAAGATCTATGAGTTTTTTCGGAATACAGATGTACGGCCTTTTGTTAGGCGCTGTCTTCATGCCGCCTGGGGGAAAGATGAGCAAGAAAATTATAACATAGAAGGGTGATGCATCTAAAGCAGTCGCACAACAATTTGTAATTTCATTTTCTTTAAAGATGAGACATGAAATCAAGAAAGCCCTTACTTACCAGAAGTCATTGTTGAGAGTCGGATGTGAGACAAACCTGCACTTCAGATTAGACCAAGGTAAAGAATGAAATAACCTGCTGCAAAGTGGGTTAATATGTAAGGTAGGAAAACTCCTCCCACTTTCATTCTTGTGTTTTCATGAAGGAAAGTCAGGAAGAATTTTTGAATAACTGTTCAGAGTTACCTAACTTGTTTAGCAGCTAGGGGGAAACTGTATGGTGGCTAGGGACGGCTGGCATTACTGAAAACTTGTTAATGTAGCAATGTGCTAGTTAACTTACTGTATTTGGACATGGTGGTACGCAGGAGCAAGTTGTCATATTTTTAGACCGTTGGTTCGTCCAGCTGGACTTTTCTCATTGAAACAGTAAAAAAAATGTAAATAAAATAATTATAATATTTTTATTTCTTGTGATGAAACATATTCCTTCAGATTTGGCAAATGTTCTTCAATTGTTCACTTGAACTCAAGGATGAACTGACTAGAACTTGGTGGTCTATACCATGAATATGACTCAATTTGTTTGTACTGGAAAAGAAGAACAACAAAAGGATCAAAGAACAACTTCAAGTCAGCTCAGGTAAGTTTTTACTCACATAACCTCTATGTGTTCTCAAAAGGTTTTACAGTCAGGCAAAAGTCGTTCTTCACTGACAACATATCCAACAGGACCCCACTTTACTTTTTCTTTCGCACTTCTGCATATTTTACCGGTTAAACAATGTCACGTGGAATGTGTTCTTAAGAAATCCATTGTGAAGGTATTCATGATGACTGATTTTAAAGAATCTTGGGTTGTGTGTTGTGTGCTAAGGTCTCCATATCCGGATATGTAAAATAAAGATCATTTTTTAAAGTAAAAAGACCACTTTTGAGCCGTGTCTTTTTGGCCGTAAAGAATCCGAAAGAACCGGAATTTAACACTTGCCATCAGATAAAAGAAACAACAGGGACAAAAACAAAGAAGAAATTTTATTTTGTCTTGTCATAAAATACATTGAAGATCATTGTACACTGTGATAATAAAAGCCTATAAATAAATATTAATAACCCTGCTGAGGTGCCAACTGTCAGTGATTCAGTTTTCAGAGATGACCAAGATTAACATATATTTAAAAACAGCAAACTTCACGGTTACTGATTTTACTTTTATTTTGTTCATGTTTGTAGCATGTTTTAGACGTTCCTGTTTATCTGGACAATCAACTCAGCTTTGAGATAATATCGAAGCCAAAATACTTCTCAGTGAGCCAAACTGCTGCGTAGTGAGAGATGTGTAGTGAGAGAGTGCACTTTGTTCACAGTGTTCAGCCAGAGACTGGGGAAGAAAAGAAAGTTCATCTTTTGACTTGAAATACCAGTGCAAAGCAAAAAAAACCTAAACAAAACAAAAATTATGTAGCCTCAGTGAAGAGCTGCAGTATTGAGAATACTCACCCTTGAGGGGAAGTGGGATGATTATTTGCATAAATCCTGTAATTTGGCGATGAGGAACTTTTTGTCCTTACCCTCCTTTGAACAGCATTAAAACAAAACACAATGCATTGACATTAATAATGACAAAAACTTGATTTCAGCAGTTATTAAAAAATAAATTGATTCAATAAATTAAAAACTGCAATAAAATACTGACTGAGCCAACCAGATGAGCTGAGAAAGGCTGTTTCAAATTTTTAGAGCTACTGCGTGAAAAGCGTGGTCACCTCTGGTTATAAATAGTGTGGAACTATAAACCGACGATCAGAGAAGCTGACTGCTGTTATAAGCTCTGCTATGTAGGCAGGAGCCTACCCACGTCGGGTCTTTTTGATAGGTTTATGTTTGTGGCTAGCTTGATGTTGGTTGTTAACTCTGACTGATCTGTCCTGTTCTCAACCAAACACTAGATAGTGAAAGTTATATGTTATGTTTCTTATCTTATCTTATGTTTTTGGTGACTGTTAACAGGACTGAGTATGGCAGCTGTTGCTTCTGACTTAAGTTTCTGAAGGAAGCTTCATGGACGGAATTGTATTTGTGTAGAAAAGATGATTTGTCGTCCATAGCATAACACTTTGAATTAAATGTGAGCAAGCAAATGCTTATGAGAGATCTGAGAAATGTGGTCTCAAACAAACTTTTGGGCTCGGTTCATCTTGTCCTCCAGTTTTACCTAATAGATCTACACAAGCAAAATTTGCTCTGCCAGTGGATGATGGGGAATTGGCTGCTATCAAGACACACCCAAAATTGCAAAAATAACCACTTGACCTAGCTCAATTAGTTCTTTTCACTTCCTGGAATAAAGGAAGAAGCATTTCTCAAGGAATGTTTAGCAGGATTACAGTTGGAGGCTCAGGATAAAGCCCAAACCGACAGACAGAGTTTGAACTTTGGAAGTTGGAGCCGGGGTGGGGTTAATTAAAACAATTCAAACCCAGAGCCTGATCCATGTTTTGAACAATTTATCTTTCAGGGATCTTTGCCTTTAACAAGCAAACCAGAGGTTGAGCAAACTATAAAAGTCCTGAGGGATACTGGTAGATCTCGGTCACTGATAGTCACTGATTTGTTGCCCTTGAGTGAGTCAGCTCCTCTAATCATAAAGGCTTTTTTACCATCTTTGGCCTCCCAAAATCCAAAGTAGTTCAGACAGACAAAGGCATAAATTTTCTATCAAAACACACTCAAAAAGATGAAATTGGGTGGTTGTTACATGTACAACTTGTAATTTGAACTAAATAATTTCACGTTTCTATGGTGAACGTAATTAAATCATGTAGCATCTGCATGAAATTCAGCAACTTAATTTGTTCTTGTTGAGATGACATGATACAATCTAGTAAGAGTGGTTCGTTGCCTGGACTCACGAAAATCACATTAGATGTCAAACTGCAGGAAAATCGCTGGAGTTTTAAGAGGCAGACAACTACACCCACACCACGTGTATGGCATTGCTATTTATTGCGGTTTAACCTGTCAAGGACAAAAACGTACAGAAAATGCTGCATCAAGCCTTGTAATCATAGCTTTCCTAGTTTGTTAAGCCTGGGTTGACAGCTTGGTGGTGTGATGGTTAATGCTGTTACCTCAAAGCAAGAAGGACCTGGGTTCAAATCCACAATCTGGCTAGTTTGCTGTGTGTAATTAGAGTTAGGTTAATTGGTGATTCTGCATTACCCATGAATCTAAGTGTAAATGGTTGTTTTTCTCTATAAAATCATCAACCCCTGTATTGGTTCATTACGCAAGACTAGCAGTAATTGTCTTGCTTAACAAAGTAGTTATTCAAGCAACAAGATTTCTTTGCGTTTTCCTTAACTTGTGTAGAATGAATTAAAACAGATTTCATACTTAAATAAATCACTTCAACTCAATGTAAGTATACTACGTTGATCCAATGTAATCTGATTACGTTAAACCACCAAATGCCAAATGTGTTGGTTTGACATGGTCAAAAATTGGTTATTGTACTTGGTTAAATCACGTGGAAATAGGTGCCATGATTAAATTGTGTTCATCCAACAACAGATTCTTTTGAGTGCTCTTTAACTAGGTCATGCAGACTATTAGTAGTTAAACATGTGGTCTCTAGTGCCTGTCATCCTGAGTCCTAGGGAGCTCTGGAAAGGTGGCACCAGACTATTAAATCTATGCTGCAGAAGTGCTGTTTGGCTATTGGTAATGACTGGGATGAAGGAGTTCCACTAATGGTATGTGCAATACGGGAAGCTAAACAAGGATCCCTGTGTCTTAGCCCAGCTGAAGTTGTTTTTGGTTATTCAGTGCAGGGGTCTTTTAAAACTATTTAAATAACAACTTCTGCACAATCCAATAAAACTAATGTTTTGGACTATGTTTCACAGATCTTTGAACGCTTGTAGCAAGCCCTTTCAGTAGCACTGGAAGCTCTTTTGTCTGTTCAGATCACCATGAAGCGGCATTATAAAAAGCACATGAAAAGTCAGTTACAATGATCAAGACAGGAAAAGAATTAAAGCGTGTATTAAATGTCCAAATGATTGGGTGTCGGTAAAACGGGAGGAAGAGAGAGTGGAAATGTGGAGGCATGCATTGGAGAGAAGAGAAAGGAAAATCAGTACAAGTAAGACAGAGTATATGTGTATGAATGAGACGGAAGCAGGTGGAAAGGTGAAGATGAGGGGAGTAGAAGTGCTGAAGATGGATGAGTTTAAATACCTGGGTCAACCATCCAAAGCAAAGGACAGTATAAAAGGGAGGTGAAGAAGAGACCGTAGGCTGCAAGCTTTAGAGATGATGTCACAGACAAAAAGACAGGAGGAAGAAGTGAAAACCAGGAGGGAAGAGACGAAAGAAGAATTTTAACATAACCATATATACTCAGATGATGAATTCAAACTAGGATGCTGAATTCGTTTTTGTCATTTCTGTCTCTCAACTCAGAAGGAATTTTCACATCTTTAGCGATGCCTTTTTTTTCTCCGCTGCCATCATCAGGGGAAATGCTAAAAGCGGTTCAAATGCTACTTGTACATTTTAAAAGTACGCCATCAGTGTCAGCCTTAACATGGTGCGAGTGTTAGCGCTTAAACTCACAAATGCCGCTAACATAGACAAACTCATGCATACATTTTCAATCTGCTTTTCTAACCGGCTGATGATTTTCCTCTGGCCATCAACAACTTGAGCCTGAAAGTATATCACCATTCTGCAAAAACAAAAGCAAAAATAGCAATGGATCATTTCAAAATTTTAAGAGCGTAAAACCATTTCTGTAAGTCACGAACATTAAATGTTTCAATGGAGGAGATGCTTGCTGCTACGAATTGCTACCAACAAACAACGCTGACTTGCTAATTAATGAAATGAAATACATAGCGGAAACAGGAGCGTAATCATTACCACTCACAGAAAGACTCCACTGGCGAGGAATAGAAACACTGGATTCTCTACCAAACAGTCGTAGACCCAACTGAGCCACTTCAGGATTGGATGAGCATCCTCCAGGTGCCTGGTCGACATCTGCCCTCCCTCAAACATTGTTGTGAGATTCCTGAAAGGGCCGCACTTTTCCGAGGGTTTGATTCTGTGCATGACAGGCAGATGCATTTAAGGGGATACAGTAAAGAGTGTGTGTATATATATATATATCATCTTTTTTTAGCCTGATCCTTTATGTCTCGTGTTTTTTTGTTTACTCTGATCTGAATCAGTTGATGAGTTTGTAAACTCATTGTCTTTTCCTGTAGTTTTGAATTCACAGAGAGAAAACTCCAAGTGAACTCAAGATGAATCACGTGGGAACCTTCAGCCTGCTTATCTACCAGATGTCTCTTGTCCTACTCTTATTTCCTGTTTTTGTTTTCTTCCTGTGTGATTACAGCTCAGTGTTGATTCATTACAGCAGGTCTGAAGGCAAAAGAGTGTCTAGCCTGTTACTTCACAGTAGCAAGTGAATATAGAAAGATTTGAATACATAGATTGTAATCGTTAAGTTGAAACTATTGGTTTTGGTCTTTCTTGAGAAAATGTCATTTCCAGGCCATTTACCTTCAGGGTAAAAATATTCCAGTTGTAGTTTTAGTTTGTACTTAAGAGACTGTTGTTTTACTTAAGGTTTGTTTTTAGCGAGCTGCGTGTTTGTGGTTTTGAAACGCTCACAAGCATTTTCACGCTATAAGCATGAAAACGCTTACGTGCATTCCAAGAAGATTGTTATACTTACGTCCATACTGTATAAATGATAGTCACGACAGTGCCAAGAAATGAGGGGAACCACAGTATGCAAATGAACAGCGTTGTCATTTGAGTGGCCCTCCAGGGCTTTCTCGAGGCCTGACAGTTGAGAATGAGACTTCTCTGGAAAACAAAGAGGAAGAGTCATGTTTGCAATGCAGTCTTGGCATACGGTACTACAGCCCCACTGCATACACACTCTACCAACCTTCTTCATGTAAAACAACACAATCAGTTTTATTAGTTGGACTCCAGGAAGAAGTGGTGCAAACAGAACTCCGATCCTACAAGAAGAAATGCAACACATGACCACTGATTTTCCTTTTTATCGCTGATATTAAAGCTGTGTTTTTACTGAATAATCACCATGTAAGAGTTTGCCCATATATGAGCTCCAACACATTACGAGCAATGTCGAACACTGGCTTTCTTTTCTTTTGCAGGATTGTCTGGGAAAAGACCCTAGAAGGGAAGAATTAGGTTTTGGCTTAAAACAGAAGTAAAACCAATCACCCGATCTTGCTCTAACTGGTAAACTTGCCTCCATAGGAACTCTCCCAAAAAAGTGTAAAGCACCGTAACGATGAAGTCCATCACAAGGAGCCGGTACAGTTCTTGGCCAACTGAACTCTCCCAACACTGAAAAAATGTAAAAATGTGGATGTTAAATGCTTTCAGATTCCAAAACTGTAGCTATAATATCGCATGTGTTAAACATCTGCGTGCAAAAAGCTTTCTTTAAGGAATAAAAACGATTGCATACAGTAACTGAGTGCTGAATCATGTAAGAGCGTGAGGATGTTACTAACCTCCAGACCATTGGCTGGAATGCTCTCCAGCCAGCGATAACATAGAACTCCAATAACACTGACCTTCAACAGCAGGTTCCTGAAAAATAAATGATCAAATACTTTATTATAAATATTTAAACCTTATAAAAATCAAATCACATAACAAAGACAATAATTTTACATCGTGTTGAACTATGTTATTCATTTGAAAACTTCTTTTGCGTGTTTTCCTTTTTTTTTTCCTTACCTGAAGACAGAGACATAGACACGTGTGCCAGGTGATTCATATTGCTCTGCCCAAACGCACAGGTTGAAGAAGCCAGGGAGTAACAGGTTAATGCCCGACACCACTGCTGACAAGACCAGCAACTCAGTGTCTTTGGGCAGATTTAAAGTGGTCTAAATCACAATGAAAAATGCAGACCGACAAGTTATAATCAAAACAGGAAATGAAGTTCCGCTTAAACATTATATGCAGCTGAAGTGAGATCGTCTTGACAACCATGATATTTAAAAATGAAGTATTGCTATAGTATCAGTAATCCTCTTACACCATCTACCTGCAGTTGTGTTTGACATCATGGGGACGTGTCCAGGTTATACTGGAAGTCAATCTGCAGTTCTCTAACGCTGACTGATTCTGCGTTATTACTAAAGAACTGTCTTTAGACTTATTCAGAAAGAGAAGAGTGAAATTGGCGACACCGCTTTGAGTATGTACAGTGCTGTGAAAAAGTAGTTGCCCTGTCTTGTTAAATCGTGAATTAACTGTGATGAACCGAATGTTTTAGAAAGCTGAGCCAAGGGTGATATGATCAGCTGTTAGGTTTAGGGGCAATTACTTTTTCACACATTGTCAGGTAGGTTTTGGCAGCTTTTTTCCCCTAATAAATGAAATAATGTCAAAACTGCATGTTGCATTTACTTTGAAGGTCTGAAACGTGTGCAATATGCAAAAATCTACGAAATAAGGAAGAGGGCAAGTACTTTTTCACCGCGCTGTATATGCAGGTTTTCAGGACCATCTTGAGCCTTGTGAGTCGTGAGATGATAACACAAAAGTTTATTACTTCTATATTATTCCTGTTATTTCTATTATTATTTGTCCTTGCACAGAAAAGCTTTGAAACACCAGTATCTTTTTGGGGGGGGTTGTGTGTGTGTGTGTGTGTGTGTGTGTGTGTGTGCGTGTGGGGTGGGGGGCGCTTATTATCACACAAAGTAGACAGACAAAGATATCAAAAGGTCTAGCAGAAAAGAAGAAGTAGCTAACCACAGTGGGTGGGGAATTAAAATTTACATACTTAAAGTGGTGCTTGACTGTGCATGAATGCTACCATTTCCTTTTCCCAACAATGTACCTTGATGTCGATTTTTTTTCCTGACAGGTTGTGCACTCCTATGGTGCCCAAGAAAATGCTTATTAAGCATGCGGTCCACGCCAACAGATGAACAATAAGGCGGTGAAGTTGTTGCATGCAGGTCTTTTTGTCTTCTCCCTTGATCATCTCAGACAGCTGCTCCTGTTGGAAAAGCACCATTTGTAAACTAAGCCTTTCAAATAGGGTGCTTGTTCTTTTTAAACTAAGGACATGGCCCCGAGGGTGACATAACACGTGAACATGTGATCAGGTTCCTGTGAGCAAACGATAACCACAAACACTACTATGTGTGATGTCAAACTGACAAAGACTGCTGCAAAAACTGAAATACTTGTTGCTAAGAATCATCAAGAGAGCATTCAGTGTAAAGAAACCCTTTTTAAATAACTTGGTTGGTTTGGTCTATTTTAAAAATAATTTCAACAAAACAAGAACCAAAAGAAACGTTTCACGCTTCAGTGAGTATTCATATAAAGTCGTACTTTGAGCTGAGTGCTGATTTTCTCAGACTGGAGTCTGACAGATATCTTCTTGCTCACTTTAAAGTCCCAGCAAGAAAAAACTTTCACAGCCAGATTCTTGTTAGATTTGAGGACTTGAAAGTTTTTTCCGAAGGATTTGGACAACCTGTCAAAAAAACCCCAAAAAAAACAGTATTAAAAAAAAGACACAACAAAAATAGAATTAAAGCATAAGTAATTGAGTTAGAGTTCAACCTGTACACAAGGATGATGCAGATAATGAAGAGGGTGAAGCCGATGGTAAAGAAATAGGCTGCTGGCATTCGGTATTGGTCTCCAGGTAACGTTTCACTGGAGTAATAGCCATAAAACATCAAGCTGTCAGAAAAGTAGCCCTGTCAACGAAAACATTAAAGATAGCTCTGGTTTCTTTGTCGCTGAAATAAGCTTGTAAATACAGCTGGGATATGATGTACAGCCATCTCACCGTGCCCGTGAGAAGCTCAATACCACTGAAGTCTGCTTTAGGACTAGGAGGAGGGTTGATGCCTTGTGGGATGATTAGGAACAAGCCAGTGATGACAAAGAGGAGAAGGTTAAGGAACAGGAGTGTTCTCAGAAAAAGGAAGTAGGACAGCACACCGGTTCCGTAACGTCCGCTCAGTGTCTTCAAGGCTGAATGCCACAATTTGAACGAACTGAAGACGGGCAGGCAGCTAAAGAGGCAGTGGCGCCAAGTCTGAGGGGAAAGGAACATGAGCGTGTCGCCTACACACATGGTGAAATCTTATCACTGTGTACGCTGTTTGCACTTACCATTGAAATGTACATGCTTAGATGAGTGTAGCAGGGTATATTTCTGCCGATGAATGAACTTTCAGTTTTTAAACTGAAAGCAACTTTTCTAGAAGAAGATAGGGAGAAAAATGGTGAGACGCCATCCAAATAGATTCTAAGATTCTTGAAGATGACGTAAAGTACTGATTGTGATTTCCATTGCACGACTCCTCTGGTCACGCCAGTGGTTTGTGTCTCACATACCGGATTTCGATCTTATCTGCCAAGCTAAGTGGCATTGCTCGCAGCTTGCGGGTGCCTTCACTCACTGAGAGGCCTTGGAGGCTGGACACCAGCTGGTCCATATTATTTTCAGCGGCGCACAAATTGGAATCTGTGGAATAAGAGAGGTCAGATCTCACTGTAGTGAGAGGGTTAAAAGTAGAACGAAAACACTTGTTAACACCTGTCAAAAAAATAGCAAATGGCACCTTCAGTGTTGATTTCCTCCGCCTCTGCCAGAACAGAGGCACCCTGGACTGGTCTGGAGAGGTGAGGAGATTCATGGGATGAGGCCTGATATCGCACTCGCCGGGATTTATTTAATTCTGTGTGGATGAGGAATTTCGTTTTGAACAAATGTTGCAGTTAACACGTGTGAATAAATCCTAGCAAACATTTAGACAGCACGGAGAGATTTTCCCCTCACCTGCAGTGCGACTAGGCATCGAGGCGAGCACCTTTACCGTTGCAGCCGACCAGCCGTGTCTCTGCAGATGGCTGATCTCTTCTCTGTCGTGTGATTCGTCACTCGTGTAACTGCTTCTGTTTGACTGTACATCTACGAAATGATAGGTTTTATAGGTTTTATAATCTGTAGATCAAAAATAAAACTACAGATAGAAATTGGATTCTAACATTTCGCTGGGGTGTAAACAGCAAACACTGAGTCATTGTACCTGTGCATTCTTTAAAGACTTCCATCTCCAGTATTTCAGGGCAATTTTGGGTGCTGGTTTCTGGCTCATTGATGGGATTGAAGGAGAAATCCTGAGCTGGTTCTCCATCTGCCAGATTCCTACAACAATGAACAGAATAATGACCAAAAGTCCCCAAAACCTTTGACCAACATGAAGAGGACTTATAGCTCATGTTGTTTTATATGAATAGCTTTTGGAGTTTTTCTTTGGACATTGGCTGCTTTTTCACTTATTTTCAGGGGAGTGCTTTTTTCATCTGTTACGCCGCCTAACTCTTAACTTTGCATCATTTATGCATAAAAATGGCCCCTAACTCAAGTGAGGAAACAGCGTTATGTCTACACATCAAAGACAACTCAGAAAACAACCACGACTGACCATTTTAAATTGTATCTTTAGGCTCTTGTATATTTTAGCTCAAACAGCTATTAGCTGAAAACTTAAAAAAGCATATCTTTGCATGTTGGTCAGTGAGTCCTTACGAATTTGAGGAAATTAAACAAGTGGACCACAAAAGAAGAAGCAGCGAGCGTAAAAGGAAAAGGAAATAATATATACAGCAAATGGACAGGATCTGAAAATCCATAAAAAATAGAAAAAAATTTCGAAGTAAGACCAAAAACAGGACCTAAAAGATGCATTCGAAACTTTATTTAATCCATCTTCTATTCACTGAAACCTCATCAGAAATGTTTTCAGTGTTTGTCCGAGATATGCCAAGTTGCACAAGAAGTGGAGTGAAAATCAGTGGCAGCAGGTCTGATGGAGCGATGAACCCAGATTGGAAAGTTTTTGGTTCAAATCATGGTTAACATGTACGCAAGACGTAACGACAGAGGTGCAGATATGAGTGTTTAGAGTTCTAAAACACAGTGGCGGCTCGACCATAGGTTACATTTTTTGTGTTGGGCATTTTGCTAGAATTGATGGAATTACGAACACAGTGTCGTCAGGTTTTGATCACCATGCAAAACTGCAATCTGGAAAACCTGTGATTGGCAATGGCTTCATTTTTAAGCACAACAATGCAGTAAAAGCAGATGTGGATAAAAAAAAGAATAAAAACACAGTAGAAACACTGTCAGTTATAGCCTGGCATCTCCCCATGAGTGTGCGCGTCGTGTTCATCATTTTCACAACTTTTCATCCACTTGGCAGATGCATTGCAAACGAGATTAACCTGTTCTTTTTTTCACACTAATGCATAGCATGTTGTAAGGCCAGTTTCCACGGCACCTACGAGGTGCTTTTCAGCAAGATTGTTCAACAAATCGAAAGTACCCAACTGTAATAGGAAGGCTTTTCTTTTTAACTTAAAACTGTCTGATAGGCAATTTTTGTGGAGTAAAATGGAAAACACTGGCAATCTACCCTCATTGGATAATGATTCTTTTGATTGGAGGAGATTTATAAAACAGACTGTTTTGCGCACCCTGTGCTGGGTGAGTGAAATTATATTAGTATCAGAGTTAGCCAGCCACATTACTCACTGCAAAGTAGTGACTAATGCGGGCTTTTAGATATATGTGCTTAAACCTGTCTACATGAGGCATGAACACCCAGTGTAGACAGGTTTAAACATTTTAATTAAATGTAAATTAAATGTAAACTATGCAACGACCGATAGTAGCAAATAACCCTGTGTCACCACACTGCCACCTGATGACGAGTGACATGTCTTAAAGGCTTTAAAGTTTTTTGCTCCTGTAGTTGAAATTTACATTTAAAAGTCAGAGAAGGTGCGCTTCCTTTTTCATAGCACAAAATTTTAAGCAGCATTTTCTCTTAATCATGCAATACTAAGCGTAGCTAATTGACTATATAAAAATAACTTGACAACTAAAGATGCAAATCAACACTATCACAAACGAGGAAGTCAATGCTTTAAAGTATTTATATTCATATATTTATTTAGTGTTTGCCGTGGCTGCAGCAGGAGGAGGTAAAACAGGTGGAAGGTTAGTAGTTTGATTTCTCTCTGCAATCACCGATCTGTAGTCCAGAGCAGTGCCCCACCTACAGGACTATGTGAATATCTTTTTTCCGGACAAATGTCAAACATGTTTATTTTATGTTTGATATTCTGTGTAGGCAAGCAAGTTGATGTTGACAGAGCTCTACTTCTTCAGAAAGGCGTCTCTATTTTGTTTTCTTTTTTTAGACTGCTTTCTTGCAATTTCATAATCTTGCAATGTTGCAATGTCATGATCTTGCAACTTCACCCGGGACTGAACCCTGAGTGTCTCCACTTTGCAGGTATTCGCCATTGTTGTTTTTGGAACCATCTCAGACCAAGGCTACTATAGCCCCACGAGTAAAACAAATGGCACCTGTATGTTTAACAACAATGAATGCGCATGCAGCTATGCGGTGGGAGTTGGAGTCCTGGCCTTTGTGGCTTGTGTTGTGTTCCCCATCCTGGACGTCATCATTTCAAAGATCTCTAGTGCCACAGCGAAAGATCGCATTGTCAAAGGAGATCTGGCCTTCTCCGGTAAGTCAGCTTTAACTGCTATGCCATATAGTTCATTAAAGGAACAAAAGAGTACAAAAGAAGGAAGTGCAGCCTGTCATAACTTGAAGCTTTCATCAGCTGTAATCTTTTCCCCTGAATTTGTTTCTCTGCTTTGAATCACCTGACAGCGGCTATGACCTTCCTGTGGTTCATCTGTTTCTGTGTCTTGCTCAACCAGTGGACCAGAACTAACTCCGAATATGTCATGGCCGATGCTGCCCGAGCTGCCGTTGCTTTCTCCTTCTTCTCAATCATCACCTGGGTATGTCTGACATACAACTCACAGTTGGTTTGGAATCTCTTGTGCGAACAATTAATGTACTAATTCAAATTTCTCTCAACAGGCTGTTTTGGCGTACGTTGCATACGGAAGGTATAATGTGAACCTGAACACCTGTGAGTGGCTGACTGCTTTATTTCCCAGAATCATTGGAAATGGAAATTCTGAATAGATGTTCTCTCTCCCACGGTGCCCTCTGTACAGCATAGACTTTGATTGTTCAAACCCCACACAGGTGAGATTTGGATTCGAGGCAGCAAATATTAACTTTGAGACTGACTTTCAGCAGCCAAACAGATTGGACATGTAGGCTACTAAAAGTAAAACAAAAGGAGCCTGTCTGTGTTTGTTGTTTATTTACAGTTTACTTCAACCATTTTCAACCAATGAGAAGCTACGTCTGTAAAAGACTTTCCATTTGATTATTTAAAAAAAGTTCAGATTAAAAAAAGCTCTGCTCCTCAGGCTCGTATGCGTTGTTTGTATCAGCTGTGTAACAAGACATTTTTAAATTGTACTAGAGAAAATGTGTGTTCCTCGTTAGTCATGGTTAAAACAGACACTCGGCACTCCTCTGGCATTAAACACATCACCTATTATCCCAGGCCTTGAACATGTGAATTATGTGTTTTTATAGGCAAACTAGTGCATAAATAACATGTTTACAGGAAATACCCTAATCTAATTAATGGTGATTTGTGGTAACAGTTTCATTATGTTTTTTCTCTGACAAACCAAATTAATAAACTGCAAACTAGCGTTTAGGTAGCATGTTATTGTGTCTCATTGTCTATTCCCCCTTTTTGCTATTTTTATTTGAAGTGAAGCACTTTGTAATTTTACCTGGAAAGGTGCTATAGAAATACATCTTTATTACTTACTTACGTCACAGAAAAATATTTTAAAAAAACTATATGTATATATATATATATATATATATATATATATATATATACATATATATATATAGTTTTTTTTTTTTTTTAAAGAGACTTACTCGTAGTCGATATCTGTTTCACAAATGTTCACATTGTAATCCATGGTTTTTGATGATCACCGTTTATCTCAAACACGACATCCAAGTCTGCTGTGTAGTGGAGCAGTGCTGTGTTGCACTTCTGAAAATAAACTATCTGCAAATGAGTATGATGCTTTATTTTGTCACACTGTCTAACTACTTCTCTGATAACCTCACAGTGTTGCTTTGCTACTTGTGACATCCTGCCACAACCTTTATCATAGCCGCTGGGGTATTAACAACTTCCTGATTTACGATCTCTTGTTTTTTTCTTTAATCATTTGAATATGAATACAGAGCAAAGAGGAGGAGGTTAGGTTAGTCTTTCTTGACTCTTTAAAGACATAAATGTTTCCTTTCAGTTGTTTGCTATACCATTTCATGACCATTCTTTGTATGGGGACAAAGTATATGAATAACTGTAACACAATCACAACAGCAATAATAGAAAATACGTCTAATTCATTTTTTTCCACTGGAAACATTTGTATTTGCATTCAAGACATCTGGAAGAATAAGATGAGCATTTTGAGTTATGGTTGACCCTCCAGTGGTCATAATAACAAACTACAACATTATATTAGGAAGCTAAATGAGTTGCAGGAAAAAATATACAGGCTTTTGAAATAAAGGCAAAACCAATGTATTGTAGTACTGTATTTCATGCATTTGAGAGTATATGTCATTGTTTCTTGTATAATTATTTTTGTACCATTGTTGGCAAATAGTTTGTGCTTTGTAATTTGTTTCAATGTGCGTGACCTTTTGGTTACCTATGAGTGGGTGAGTGAATAGTATTATGATTGGTTACTTCATGGTTAAATGGCTATTTCCAGCCCTGTGCTTGTTTTAGAAATGACCGTTCTCACTCTGGTGTAGTGAATTTGAGGGACTAGCACAAACCTTGCAAAAATAAGCTAATTATCGAAAGGAAGAGATCAGATGAGAACTGAATGCAGAAGGACAATAAACACACAGCACTGAGGTAATAATGTAATGCTGTACTAAATTCAGTAACCACTTTAAAGTGATGTCATTACTTCCGTTACAAAGGCGCAAAGGAATAAAACATAAAAATCAAACATGCCTTTTTCTCCTTGTGCGCTTGCACTACAGTCAACGGATGGCAAAGGGGAGGAGTGGAGATGTGAACAGTATCTTTATTTTTATTGCACAAAAGCGCAGGAGTATGCATTCGTTTTTGAGTTAAGACCCCAGCACTGTTCGTTGATGCCAAAGAAGAATATCCAGGCTGCTTGGAGCTGATAGGCAGATAGACTCCTGGTGGTGCTCAAATACTTGCCCTTTTGTTCTCTTAAGTTCAATTCAGTTTTATTTATATAGCACCAAATCATGACAATTTCCTTTATATTGTAAGGTAAAGACCTGCAATAATAGAGAGAACCCCAAAACAATCAGGTGTCTTCTGTCTATTATTATATAACAATCAAAATAGCTAATGATTAAATGCAAAGAGGTGCATGGGTGACTGAAAACGGAAAACTAATTGCATCGTAGAAAGCCCCCAGCACCCTAGCACTATTGCAGTAGAACTAAGGAAGGGTTCAGGGACACTTGATCCTGCCCTTTCTGCAAAACAGTTTCTTTTTTCATCTCAGTGTGAAGTGATAATTTAGTAGAAATCTGTTGATTATGAGTGTTTGCGTGAAATGAAAAAAAAATCAGCATGTAACAGATAAGCAGCTGTGTAAAAATTTATTAGATTTTTTTTTTTGATGAGGGATTTTTTTTTGTGCTCATCTGTGGCAAACGTTATTCAAATAACCATTTGTTACAACTAAGGTATATAGAAGAGCACGCAACACTTTGAACCTTGGCATAGATGGGCTACAGTAGGAGAAGACCCCATGGGCATACTGCCAGCTCAGCTAAGAACGTGAGGATGAGGCTACAATTTACACAGGCTCAAGAAAACGAGACAGCTGTTACCTGGACTGATGATTCTTGATTTCTGAACATGAAAGCGTCTACCCAGCCTGTCTTGTATCAGTGGTATAGGCTACTGCCGGTGGTGTAATGGTGTGGGGATATTATTATTTATTTTATTTTTTGTGCAGATTTAGGGCCCCTTAGCAGCAGCTGAGCATCATTTAAATGCCATAACCTTGCTGACCATGTCCATCCCTTTATGACTACCATCTTCTGACAGGTAAAGGTCAGAAACATCTTAAACTGGTTTCTTTACCTCACATTCAGTGCTCGACAGTCATTAGATCTTAGCTCAATGAGCACCTTTGGGATGTGTTCGAATCGTTCACATGATTGGTTAATCCGAATCATGGATGTGCAGCTTGCAAATCTGGAGCCACTGTGTGATGCTATCATGTCAATATGCACTAAAATCTTTTCAGCACCTTGTTGAATCTGCACCATGAAGAATTAAAGCAGTTCTGGGTGGGAAAAGGGGCCTTGAACACCAAACACGGTAAAAGCAAGGTTTACATAATAACACGGCCTCCGTAAGATCCACGGCGTTGAGGAATTAAACTTCCGGGAGTCCCGTGAACGCATCGCCGCAGGGGCGGCGTTAAAAAAGTTTTGAGGAAGTTTTTTTGACAAATCGAAACTGCCGCAGTCGTGACAGGAAGACTTGTCAGTTTGTCCTTAAACTGTCTGACTGTCGGGGTTTTCTTCACGGGGAAAATGCAGAACAGTGCTTACGGGGCCTCTTTGGCCGGTGGCGCCTTTGATTTAGCGAACTTTCTAAAACAGCCTCAAACTATTTTGCGCTTCCTGAGCTGGGTGAGTGACTTCACGGAAACGTTAGCATCACAGTTAGCCAGCTGTCACTGCACCTAGTTTAGCTTAACAGATGTGCGCTGCCAGCGCCCACCCAAATTAGTGAAAATTTTGTTTTTTTAGCTTTTTGTGCGGTCAACGCGGGACATTATCTGAGTGTCACGTTTAAACATTTTAATGAGCTTTCAGTAAAGTGTAAAAAATGGTGTTTCTGTGGCTCTGGTTGATGGTAGCTAATAATAACTAGCAACTGACCAGTGCTGTGTCACTACACTAACTGCCACATGATGATAAGCGATCTGCAGACTTTTAATTTAAAGTTTCTGTGTTCCCGTGGTTTAAAAACGAGACAGGTTAAAACAACAGGAGTTGTTTGCTTTTTTCTTGCAGTTTTATAGTTTAGATAATTGTCAGAAATTGAAGCTTCCGCCGTCATCTGTTGTCAAGTCAACTCCAGTTGTCAGGTGATTGGAAATGCTTAATGTGCAGGCACTGCAGTGGAAGCTTAAGTATGCAGTGTTACTAAAGCATACCTTCACAGTGCTTTGCAAGAAAAAAAAAGCAATACTAACAGAAAACAGACAAGTAAAAGTTGTGCTACAGTATTTGCTTTCCGGTAAGTGCATTTAAGTTCAGTGGGCCTATTAGTGAAAACCTACATCTGTGAACAAGACGGGTAGAAAACAAGGATATTTTATTTAACTAAAACTATGAATCAACTGTTTTCAAAAGGTTCCTGCACTGATTTTCCTAAATCTCGCTTCTGACATACACCCTCCATACAATAATAATCAAAACAAAGGCTAAAACTAGCACTGAAATTTATAAATATTAAACTAAAACCTTTTCAAACAATATAAAGTAAACTGCAATAAGTCAATCCAGTCTGGAAACCGAAAGAAAAATGAAAAGTCACTATGTAATACAATTCAAAAGAATGCAAAACTATAATAACTAATGTAGGAAAGTTTAAGTGTTCAAATGTTATAAATAAAACCAACATGGTTTTGCAGGCAAATGGTTGTCCATAAGTTCATATTCTCTTCAGATGTCTTCATGTAGAGTATTTATAAGAATGCTTAAAACCTGTTCAAAATCATACAAAATGCATGAAGTCTTCATGAATTAAGAAGCTAGAACATGAGTGAACAGTGACTCGGTGATTTGGTTGCCTTTTAAAAGTAGTATTTTCATTTTGTGTCACGTAATTGTGTAATGTTTTTCATGTTAGCTGTGTTATGAAAAAGGGGATGTGGGTCACGAATAGCTGAAAAGGTGGCGTTATACTTGTTTAGATTGGATTGACAGATATTATTTTTTTGATTAAAGAAGCTTTCTTGTAATGTGAGTCATGGTAATTTCGCAAACTCCATAGCTGCGTGGCTTAAACTTGGCCTTGACCTTTTTGTGTCCCGTCTTTGCAGATATTCTCTATCGTGGTTTTTGCAACCATCACAGCCGAAGGCTACACCAACACGACGGAAAAAGCTGAAAACGAGTGCATGTTCCACAACTCTGACAGTGCTTGCAGTTACGGGGTGGGAGTCGGAGTCTTGGCCTTCTTGGCTTGTGTTTTGTTCCTCATGCTAGATGCCTACTTCCCGAACATCAGCAATGCCAAAGACCGAAAATACATTGTAATAAGTGATCTTGCTTTCTCTGGTAAGAGTTGGTTTTCATTTTTTCACCACATAGTTTAATGAAGGAACTGTGCCATAAATCAGGAAGTGAGACTTAAAGTTAACACATGAAACATGTTTCTCTCCTGTGAACACCTGACAGCGGTGTGGACGTTCCTGTGGTTCATCTGCTTCTGCGTCCTGACGAGCCTGTGGTCCAAGACGACAAACGAACAAGTCGTGGCCGACGCTGCCCGAGGTGTCATTGCCTTCTCCTTCTTCTCGATCATCACCTGGGTGAGGCTGAGGCAGAGTTCGCATTAGCTTTGAATTTGCTGTGATAAAAGATCCTAGCACTAATTCAAAGTTCTCTCTACAGAGCCTCTTGACCTACTTTGCACTTGCAAGGTATCGCCAAGGAGTGAATGAATTCGAGCAGGAATACAGAGACCCAGCCAACGACCACAATGCTCCTTACCAGAGCAGCCCCTACTCCAGCACCAGCGGGCCCTCTGGCTATCAGCAGTCACCTTTCTCCAACACCCAGGAGACTCCAGGAGCGTATCAGCCTCCATCTTATTGAAAGACTAAGATTCAAAGGCAGGAATCAAATGAGGAAGTTTTTCTTTTTAAATATGTGTGCCAGTTGTTTCTTTTACAGAGCCGGACCGTTCTGTGCACTCCCCCTTCTGTTCCTGCTGAACACGTTTGGTTTTCTGGGTGCACTGATATCTTTTTAGTTTCCTGCAATGGTGGAAGTTTTGCTGTATGGCCACGCCTGAGTTGCCTTTGTACCAAAACCGCTGCAGATTTTTCAGTGCCTCCTTTAGTTACTATTGCGAGTGCAGTTTGCTGCTGTTCCTATCAAAGCACTAATTATCAGAAAGGTTAGACTTAGTGTAGTTCATTAGGAAATCTGGTTTGCATTGAAAATTTTTACTGAATATGTAACTGTTCAGTATTTACTTCAATAACTGCAATTCAAACATACAGCTGAGTATACTGCTCTTTCACCACATTGCAAACTCATATTATTCAATTAGTTGGTAGATCAGAAGTATCGGAAGTCTATAACTACTGTAATGCCACGTGTTTGTGTCTTTTTATTAAGTAATCAACCACTAAATAGGCTTTCATGCACTGAAAAACTCAGTTTGTTTCTGTTTGACATTTTAATTTGTCACATTCGTTTCTTTTTATAGTTTGGCTTTTACAGGTGTTTTGATTGATTTGTATTGGATTCTTCTGTTGAATTCTTTGCTTAGGATTTTTAAAGTAATCAATGCCATAAATGTCTCAGCATAGGTTTAGCAATTCTTTGATGTTGTGGCAAATTTGGTATTTATTTTCTTTTTTAATACTGTTAAATTCAGGTACATGACAATCAAATTGAATCATTCTCCACATTCTTTTTCCCCCTTGCTTTTTCTTCTCCTCTGCACTTTTGCTTTGTCACCGCTTTGCAAATGTTCCTCATTAAAGTGCCTTGCACAGTGATCCTGTATCAGACGGAGTGTGCCAAATAAAAACAGGTTTTAAAACTCTGAGTCTGACTTCTTTAAAAGAAAAGGCAAGACTGTGTGTAGTTCCTGCCTCTGCCCCTTTGTCAAATATTTGAATAGTAAATGTGGAGGAACACTTGAGGTGTGGAGACAGCAGGATCCAGACAACAACTGAGGTACTAAGATTTGAGTAATGCATTATAGGTTAAAATAAAAGTAAGTAGAAGTGAAAGCTGCTCCCTTGTCTTAAGAGGAGACCACAACGGGAAGCTCCACGTTTGATTTGAGTTTTACAGCAGTAGTCCTTCCTGATGCAACCCTGAAGGGGATTTTTAAAAAGTAAGGCTTAAAACAGGCTAAAATAAAAATATCAATTAAAAATGAACTACAATAAAGCAAAGAAATATATTAAAAGTTAGGTTTTTGTCTTAATTACGGCAGAATTTTCATTGTAACAAACTTAAATAGACACCGGTTTATACTTTTATTTGAGAAATCTACACAAAATCTAGAGTGAATGCTCATATTCTAACACCTGTCTTCTCTATCCAATAATATGAATCATAATAAACATGGAATAGTAGCTTATCTCTTACAGTACTGTAAGCCTTTATCATAAAGGCTTGCAGGCATAAAGGTATAAAGCCTTTATACCTTTGAGCAAAGTGTGTATGTGACACGTGTTCTGAACTTCTTAAATGTGATAAACACAACCTGTAAAAGAAACAAAGATAGATGTGATCTCGTGGCCAAGGTAGCAGCCACACAACCCATAACATAAAAAAAGATTCTAAAATGCATCGTAAAAAATAACATCCACAACACACAATATTTAAATAGATAAATGAAACATCTCAAAGTCTCTTTTGTATTCTTTATTTTTTTTTTTTCACCAATAGAGAGACATGTTTAAATTTTGGTCTTTCTTTGCATTATTTAATGTATGTAAAACTAAATTAAATTCTAAAGAAATCCATAAAACATTATAAAAGTATAATAATTCTCACAGGTAGGCTGAAACTTTAAGTTATCATATTTCCGACAGCCCCTGAAGGCAGCGTTCTCCCCCCTCCCTCTGCATCGACTACACGTAAGCACGACATGGTGCTGTCGTCATCAAACTGACATAGGAAGTAATGATCGGCTGTCCAGACAACGCAAAAAGAGGAAAAGGGGCCGAGGAAGGAAGCGACACAATAATGACATCCAAGCTCCGACCACCGGCGGACTGAGAGCTGAAGACCCCACATCTGCGGTGAGTAACGAAGCGGGAAGAGGGGTTTGATCGGAAACGTTTCAGGTGGCCGTTACTGACGGCATCTGCGTTTTAACCTCTGCGCTCCTGGCAGGAGAGAGCCACAGCAGCTAAAAGCACGCTTGCAAATGAGATGATCGCGTGTGTCAGTCCAAAAGCTTCGCCTTCTTCACCGAGAAAATCAACTATGATGGTCCGGCAGACATTTAATTCCCTTACAGGTTTAGTGTCTCAGCGCTTAAAGGCCTGGAAATAAAAACTTGGGTATTGTCCTCGTTCACCCGCAGCTTGTTATCTTCTGGGAATCTGCAGACAGCGCAACCACGTAACATCAGGTCCATAGTGTGTGATGCACATTTGTTTGTGGCTCCTTGACACGCAGGGCGTTTAAAACCCGAGTTAAAGTACTCAGTAAAAGTGTTTATTGGCCTCACACACACTTTGAAGGTCAGCCTTACCAGATGTCATCGATTATGGGAGCACAGAGGCAAGTTTATGGTCAGAGAGGCGCTTGAAAGGACACTCACTCAACATTATGCACAGTTGCTACCAGGCAGGGGTGGGTTTAGAGAACTTTAAATTATTCAAGTAACTTAGAGACCTGCAAACACAGATTAAAATGCTTGACTATAATGTGTCTGATTGTAATTCTTCTGATCTATTATCCAGTTTTAGTGAGCCTGTGTAAACCGTAGCTTCAGTTTCCTGTTCTTGGCTGACAGGAGAGACATCTGGTGTGGTCTTCTGCTGCTGTAGAGATCCAAACGTTTCTGGCACAACTTCACCTACTTCCAAGGTGCGTGAAGAGGTCCATGGCACACTATGGACCTGGTGAGGTGAAGACTCCAGCAACACATGAAACACTAGGGAACAACTTTATTAGCAGGCCAACACATTTCGGCTTGTGGCCTGAATGACCCCGATGAAGGCCACAAGTGTTCCTGGAGTCTTTATCTCACTTGTTGTGCTGCTGTAGCCCGTCTGCTTCAAGGGGCAATGTGTTGTGCATTCAGACATGCATACCTTGCTTCTAATAAGTGCTCATTTAACGACTTGAAGCAGCCCAGACTAATCTCCTCTGAGAGGCATTTCCACCCACTGCCACTCACTGGTATTTTTCTCCCTTGTGGACCATCCTCTAGGGATCACAACCCTAGAGATGGTTGTGTGGAAAAATCATCAGTTTGGCACCAGCAACCATGCCAAGTTGAAAGGCACTTCAGTGACCTTTCTTCCCCATTCTGATGCTCAGGTTGAACTCTTACGTTTTTAATTTTACTTGTTTAATGTTGTCAAACGGTTGTTTTGAGGTGCGGTGCAGCTGCAGAGACACAAATCTATTGGTTCATTTTAGGAGAAATGCCGTCAGCTTTTTAACTAAGTGGAACGTGATCATTCCAATGAGCAGCCTTTCACCATCATCACCATCAGCTAGGATGCCAATTCTAAGCAGTTCAGTGTTATATTAGAGGGAAACATCTGTGCTTTTCTTTAAAAACAAAGGCTATTTCAAATTCATCCCAAACTTTTAAGAGTCTTCTTATCACCCAGCGCTGCAGTCTTGTCTATTAGGTCATCTTCACTGCGTGGGGAATCTGAAACATGAAAGTATCGGGCTGAGAAGCTGAAAGGTTGCTTTTTAAGAAGCTGTCTGTGCTCTTAATATGTTTCCAACTAAAGTCCAGAAGGTGTTAATCACTTATTAACAGACATTACTGCGTCTCAGAGTCAGTGAGGTTTCCTGTGCGACTATGCTGCTCGCAGTCCTCAGTGTAATGATTACATCACAGGAACGCCTCTGATTGTAGGTTTGCAGCTAACTTCTATTCATATGTCCAGGGCTGTGGCTTTTCACCTTTATGCCGATAGTCGCTGAGCACTTAATAAAGGTTTTCGTAACCCTCGGTAGCTGTTCATTCATAGGCGGTGATTAATAACAAACTGAATGAACTGCGTTGTCTCTCAAAAGGCTTTGCCCCTTTGGACTTGGTGATAATCCTCCAAGTGTAGGTAAAGTTCACAAGCTTTGTAACAACATAGTCATGGTTGCAGTGCAAATGATCAGTGGGGAGAAAGACAGCTTTCGAGCTCAGGACTACTTGTGGAAGGACTCGTGGAGTAAACTTAATGACACAGGATCAGCGTGCGGGCAGGAGGAGACGAAGGGGTAAGCCGCGTCATCTGATTGTGTTGTGGGGCACAAGCAATTTTTACACCAACAGTCAATCAGCAACACTGTTTCTATTCTCAGCTACTCACTGAGTTTAGGTACAGTGGCGGGCCTCAGAGAGGGAGACCCGATGCTGCTGCCACAACGGACGGCTGTTTGGCTCAGGGCCCTCGTATGAAAGAGCTTTTCAGCTCCTGCTCCCCTTTAAGAAACGCGTTCAGGTTTCGGGGTATGATCCTGCGGCAGCTGGGCCCAGAGGAGCTTTAGGGTTACAGAGCTTTTCAGGAGACCCTCTAACAGCGGACAGTTCCACTGCTGTGTTTGGGTTGTGTTGATTCAGCTGAAAGGTCACACGCACTAGTTTATTGGGTGTGTAAGCAAATAACAGGAATGTAGTTTTCCCAAGTTACAGGCCTTTCAGCTCTACGTGAGCTTGTAAAGTAAAATAAAAATGCGTTGTTTAAATTATTCCCAATTAATCCCGCTGTTTATCTGTTATCTCACTATCACGTGTTTTATCCGAAAACAAAATATTTAGGACGCTGCAATTCAAAAAGGGGTGAAAACTTCACAAGTTTGGATGATTTACCTGAAATAAAAACAGGGAAGAAGGGACAGAAGGTCCTGACAGATTAATCCAATTGTAACAATCTTTATTTTATATATTTTTAATGAATACAATGGGCTTTTGGACAGCTGGTAGGGCAGGATTTTTCAGTTTTCTGACAGCTTATTGAATGACTAATTTGTACTCTCTGTCCTTCTTCAGCCATCTTTATATATTTGAACAACGGCTCACGCACACAAAAAATCAGATATATTCAGATATGACAGAAGATGTCTGAATATATCTTTAAAGCGGCTGGACTTTCTGCAGTAAATCAATAGATAGTTTGAATTATTGGCCACTGTACATTTCAACACTCATGTTTACCATATCATTACACTACATGTGACGGCTCATCAGTGTGACAGTTGCTCAGTGATTGTGTACTTCCTGAATAACTTGTTCAGCCGCCCTCTTATTACCTCAGAGCAAGCTCCTCCCATCACCACGTCGACAAGACTCATTGTCGGGCGCTTGATGGCCTGTATTTGTATTTGATATTCACCTAGAGCGGTTTCTTCCTCCTTCTAAGCAATCAATGTTCAACCAGTGGACTCGCTTTTGTCCGCTCTGACTCTAACACTTAGTAGGATAATTAAACCAAAAAAAAAGAATGAAGCTATAACCTGAAATGAGTCATCTGCCTGCCATCGCTTATGGAAGTGTGTAAGTTGAAGTTAATTATTTTAATTGCGTTCATTCTCTCATTTGTGGATTAAGAGAAATGACGAAAATGAGCCTTTTGGTTAAAAAACTAATTGTCGTTTTTCGATTTTTTTTGTTAATACTTTTGCGGCCCTCGAGGCCTGGAGTTCGACACACCTGGGCTAGAGCAACTTTATGTGAATAGATGACCTCACTGTGGCTTGGTGCTGAAAAAAGGATCTCCTATAACCTCCATGTTGACACCAGAGAACCAGACTGAAGTATTTTCCAGTGGCCTCTCTGACAGTGAACTCACATTCTCTCTATTTTTCTGTAGGTCACTCCAAGCCTGGTTCCCCCATGCCTGC